GTGTTTGTGTGTGTGTGTGAGAGAGAGTGTGTGTGTTTGTGTGTGTGTGTGTGTGTGTATGTGTGGGAGCGAGTGAGTGAGTGTGTGAGAGCGAGTGAGTGAGTGTGTGAGCGAGTGAGTGAGTGTGTGAGCGAGTGAGTGTGTGTGTGAGCGAGTGTGTGTGCGAGCGAGTGTGCGTGTGCGTGTGTGCGAGCGTGTGTGTGCGAGCGAGTGTGTGTGTGCGTGTGAGAGCGAGTGAGTGTGTGTGTGAGCGTGTGAGAGCGAGTGAGTGTGTGTGTGAGCGAGCGAGTGAGTGTGTGCGCGTGTGTGAGCGCGAGTGAGTGTGTGCGCGTGTGTGAGCGCGAGTGTGTGTGTGTGTGTGTGAGCGAGTGAGAGTGAGCGTGTGAGTGAGTGTGCGCGCGAGTGTGTGTGCGTGTGAGCGTGAGCGAGAGAGTGTGTGTGAGCGAGCGTGTGTGAGAGTGAGAGACTGAGTGAGCGTGTGAGCGCGAGTGAGTGTGTGAGAGTGAGCGTGTGAGAGTGAGCGAGCGTGTGAGAGCGAGCGAGCGTGTGAGAGCGAGCGAGCGTGTGAGAGCGAGCGAGCGTGTGAGAGCGAGCGAGCGTGTGAGAGCGAGCGTGTGAGAGCGAGCGTGTGAGAGCGAGCGAGTGTGTGTTTGAGAGCGAGCGTGTGAGAGCGAGTGAGTGTGTGTTTGAGAGCGAGCGTGTGAGAGCGAGTGAGTGAGAGCGAGTGAGTGTGTGTGCGAGCGCGAGTGAGTGTGTGTGTGCGAGCGCGAGTGAGTGTGTGTGTGCGAGCGCGAGTGAGTGAGTGTGTGCGAGAGCGAGTGTGTGTGCGAGAGCGAGTGAGTGTGTGCGAGAGCGAGTGAGTGTGTGCGAGAGCGAGTGAGTGAGTGTGTGCGAGAGCGAGTGAGTGTGTGTGTGCGAGAGCGAGTGAGTGTGTGTGAGAGCGAGAGCGAGTGAGTGTGTGTGTGCGAGAGCGAGTGAGTGTGTGTGTGCGAGAGCGAGTGAGTGTGTGTGAGAGCGAGAGCGAGTGAGTGTGTGTGAGAGCGAGAGCGAGTGAGTGTGTGCGAGAGCGAGTGAGTGTGTGTGTGCGAGCGCAAGTGAGTGTGTGTGTGCGTGTGAGAGTGAGTGTGCGAGTGAGTGAGTGAGAGTGAGTGAGTGAGTGAGTGTGTGTGTGCGTGCGAGTGAGTGAGTGAGTGAGTGAGTGCGTGCGTGTGTGTGAGCGAGTGTGTGAGCGAGTGTGTGAGCGAGTGTGTGTGTGTGCGCGAGTGTGTGTGTGTGCGTGTGAGCGTGTGTGTGAGAGAGTGAGTGAGAGCGAGGAGTGGACTCACTCTCACTCCGCTCCACTCCTCGCTCACTAATATCAGAAACACTGCTCCGCGGCTGAAGTACTTCAGTATGTTTGAAATACCACAGTTCTGTTCATAACGTGTATTAAAAGAAAAAAATTTATATAAATAAAATGACAGGAGCATTTCAATGTGGATTATTGGAACATATTGAAACTTTTTTCCTACCACATGACAAGCTAATAACATGGCTGTCAGCATTAAAAGGTAGGCTACTGATGCTTTTTGCAGTGCAACTTTTGTTCGTGATGAAAATAAGTTATGTTACCTACGGATCGCTGCATTTCTTCATTTAATTTAATTCGAAATCGGATGCAGATGAAGTAGCACTGTATAAGATTACATTTGTTTGAATGCATTATTGAGAGAGCGATTGCGTGTGAATAAGTGTTGTACCTGTTTAAATCATGATTTCACCTGAAAATATTCAGTATCTTCTACAGGGAACAAACTAATTCCTTAATAACTACCCTATAACTTCCCGCTATGTCCATTGCCGTCAACATAGCCTTCACATTCTTTCTGATTTGAGTGATCCTTCTCTATCAAGCTAGCTAAATATGTTTAACGTGAATTCTTGCTAAATGTGCAGTTATATAACGGGCCGTTGGCATGAATTGTACTCGTGATGGAGCTCTGGTGGAGCGGAGCGAATGAAAACCATGACGCTACGACTTTTAAAAAATCCGCTCCTCGCTCCGTTCAAAATCACACCGCACTCCACTCCGCTCACATACTCTGGTGAGTGAGTGTGTGTGTGTGAGTGAGCATGTGTGTGTGTGTGAGCGTGAGCGTGTGTGAGTGCGAGCGTGTGTGTGAGTGTGAGCGTGTGTGTGTGTGCGAGCGTGTGTGTGTGTGCGAGCGTGTGAGTGAGCATGTGTGTGTGTGTGAGCGTGAGCGTGTGTGAGTGCGAGCGTGTGTGTGAGTGTGAGCGTGTGTGTGTGTGCGAGCGTGTGTGTGTGTGCGAGCGTGTGTGTGTGTGAGTGTGTGTGTGCGTGAGCGTGAGCGTGTGTGTGAGTGCGTGTGAGCGCGTGTGTGTGAGCGTGTGTGTGTGTGAGAGAGCGTGTGTGTGAGAGAGCGTGTGTGTGTGAGAGCGTGTGTGTG